CGATGCCTCTGGCGCCGATTTCTCGCGAGACACTCTTTTCGCGTTGCGAGACAAGATCGCCGCCGGCACCGCGACAGCCGCAACCGCCGCTACCGCCACCGCCGCCACCGCCACCGCCACCGCCACCGTTGCTGCCACCTCCCCCGCCGCCACCATCGCCGCCGCCGCGGCCGCTGGAGCTTCCGGCGGGGCGACCGGCGAGGGCGGCGAGGGCGTTGCGAAGGGTTGCCGGCTCGCCGCGCGCTGCGGTGTGCTGTCGACAGCGTCTCTTCACACGTCCGGTTGTGAACAGGTGTGGTCGGCGCCCCTGCGCTCGCCGGCACGCCTCTCGGCCGTGCGGTTGTTCGGTTCATGAGTCGTGGTTGCTGACCACGAGTGCTGAGGAATAGGCATCCCTTTCATGCGGTCGGGCTGCTCGGCGGGCCTCGAGTCCCTCGAGCTGTGAGACAGAGTCAGTGTTCGGACACAGCAAGCTTGGCCCGCCCTCGGGCGATTTTGATGCGAGCTGCGATGGGGCCCTCTAGCGACAGGGCCTGACGAGGAGGAGAGTATCGGATCGTTTGATCTACATGACGCCGACCATGAGGTTGCCGCATGACGCCGAGACCGGCGAGAGAGACTAGAGAGATGAGAGATCATGTGTGCACGCTGAATCTATCGCAGGTGAGGCGAATTGATTTTTGATGTTTATCATGTTAGAGCTCTAAACTGCTAGCTGGACGACTACCCGAGCCGAGTGTGATGGACCAGGACCCGCCAGAAGACATCATGAGGGAGTATGACACACGGGTGGTGACTTCACTCAAGGCACTGCAGCAGACGGCGGCATCAATAATCAAAGTACGGGAAGGGAAGAGGAAGGGACTCGAGGCGGAGAGGAAGGAACGAGTAGCCTCGGAAACAGAGCGCCTGAGAGAGGGACAGAAGGAAAGGAAGGAGAGGATACGAGAAATGGAGTGGGCGGCGAATGCGTGTATTTGCTGGCGACGGAGGCGACATCGACAACGTGATGCCGAGGAGAAGGAAAGGGAAGAGGCAGAGAGACGCCTCGAAGCGGGGAGAGGCAGAACGACGAGAGCGATGGGGATGACACTCAAAACGACCCACTGCGAGCTCGAAGGCGAAGGCCAGCGCAGGAAACGCGGTGACAGGAGCGACGACGTGGCGAGCGCCGGAGGGAAGCGACGACAGCGAGGGGACGAGGACGACGAGCAAAGAGGAGAACAGACGGCGAGCGGCGCACGCGAGGGCGACCACGCAGGAGAAAACAGACGGGGCGAGGGGAAGGAAACGCGGCCCGCCAGGAAGCGAAGGCAGACGACAAGATACGTCGCCGGACCAGCGACAGGAAGCGCAGGAAAGCAAAAAGAACAAGACCAGGAGCATGGAGACGAGGGAAGGCGCGAGGCGCTCCGCCGACAAGCAGCAGAGGCGGCGGCAAAAGTAACGACGGCCATGCTAACGACGGGCGGCACGGTGGTAGGGGCGAAGGTAGGCCCCTCTAGCATAGCGGAAGGAGAACTCGGCCTACTGGCGACGAGGGGGCTGGAGAAATTCGAGGTGTGTAGCATCTACACTGGGGAGATCTTCCGGACAGGAACGGCGCAGCCACCAGAGACAGTACCAGACGAACTGTCACGACACACGGCAGCAGGGGGGACGCAGCTGGATGGAAGTGACGACGAGAGCGGGGACGACTTTGACAGCGTCGCGGCGCGGTGTAAATTCGACTGGCCTGCAGCATCGAATGAGCCGAAACGAGGCACGAGGGCGACGCACTTCGTACGCTACGAGGAGATACAATTAGGCAAGGCAGCTGCGCAGGTGATGGTCCTGTTTGCAGAGAGAGGAGTCAAGGGAGGCAAAGAAATCACATGGTCATATGGGGACTCATACAAGAGCCACCGCAAGGAGATGGGATACAGGGCGGGGACGAGGGCGGATCCGAACGCAATAACACCCCAGCAAGCGCGGAAGGCATTCGCGAGATACTGCAAAGAGATAGACGTGACGAAGGAGGAGCTAGCGTGGAACTTTGGATGCATATCGGCAAGCCAAAATAACGAGCAGGAGGCTGTCCTGGTGCGTGAGCTAATCCTGAGCAACAATAAGCGACTGTACCACGGAGCACAGAGCGCAGCGGACAGGACGGCGGCGACGGCGGACATGGCAGAGACGAGTGTGAAACAAAGGGCGGCGGGCATGGAGGACGGTAGCGACGGGGATGGTGACGGTGACGGTGGCGAGGGAGAGGAAGGGGGTCCATTAGCACCAGACAGCGAGAGGGGCGGGGAGGAAAGGGGGAGAGAGGAAGCCAACGGCGATGCCACCAGACCCCTCCATCCGCACAGCCCCTCCGGCCCCTCGAGCCCCCTCCGACCCCTCCAGCCCTCTCTAGCCCACTGGACCCCTCCTACGCCTCGCTTTTGGCCAGCCCTCCAAGCCCCCACCCCTCCTGGGCCCTGCCGCCTGACACCTCTATCGGTGGAGGGCTTTAGGTCACGGTCCACACTCCCGCCCTCCCGACCCCTCCACACCCCTACAGCGGCACCCCTACCCCTCCCGCCGTTTTAGGGCTTGCCCACCCGCACTCCACACACACACACACACACACACACACACACACACACACACACACACACACACACACACACCGCTCACCCACGCGCACCGGGCCTTGCACTTTAAATGCCGTGGGGCTCCTGTCGTTAGACGTGGAGACGCGAGGGTCGCCCCCCCTTGCCCCACCACCTCGTGTGTGTGGAGAAGTTTACCTTACCTTACCTTACCTCTAAACTATACCTTCTCGCAGCTGCGATACGAGCTTTCTCGGAGCGACAGCCTCAAAGGGAAACTGGAATGGCGGATGGCGGTTGCGTAAAGTAGGTAGAGTAGAATTCAGTAATTAATAAGGAATAACCTCTCTCTTTCACAATGGCTGCCCAAACTATGGTTCTATGCCACGCACAGCAACAAATGCGAAATGCTGCCGCATTATTTTGCTCTTCAGGGGGCAATCAGAAATGGTAAAAAAGCCGTACTTTTTCAGGCGAGCATTCGAATTAGGATTGTTGCCGTAGGCGGCTTGCGAGCCGAACCCGCAACCAGCCGTAGTTATCGTCCGAAGTCAGCTCGTCGAACAACGACGAATTAGCGACATCGAGCACGTCCTGCATACTGTCCTGATCTGGTGAACACAGCATCTTGAGGTTTGACACCCCCCATTGATCGCGCTCGGCGACCAGCTGCCGCACGCGCCCAAAGTAGATCTTGTTCACGCCGGCCCATCCTGCGGGCAGAAGTTTTATCTCTGGGCCCCGAATTGCATCTCTAGCAGCGTCGTCACACACCCACACTCAAGGACCGCTCGACCATTGGGTTTGTAAAAAAAAAACAAAAAAAAAGCGCGAGCCCGCATAGGCGCCCACTTTTCTGCGGCGGCTAAAGCGGAGCGCCGCGATGTGGTGCGCGCTTCTCTCCGCGCTCGGTTCCGCGGCGCTGGTCGTCAATGAGCAGACCATCCCTCCCGCCTGCGCCTTCACTCTCTCGTCGATGTCTGCGACGATCAACGCCCAGGCTGCGGGAGCCGACGGGTGCGAGGCGCGGGCGTGGCGGATAGCGCCGGGGAAGTCGCTGGACCGGATCCAGTTCAACACGTCGCAGTCCTACTTCGAGGGCACGGACATCCTGGACTTCTTCGCCGTCGAGTCGGACGGCCAGCTGCGCTCGCTCACGCAGCACAGCCAGCCGTTCAGCGCCTCGAACCCGATCCCTCCGGTGCTGTGGCTGACCCAGGCAACGGACGAGGTGGTGCTGGTGCTCGACGCGCCGTCGGGCGGCTCGAGTTTCATCATGCACTACAGCTGCACCGCCGTCTCCGGCTTCCTCCTCCCCGAGCTCCTCGACCTCTGGCTTGCGATTGCGGCGCTCATCTTTTGCATCTGCTGCTCCGTCACACTTTGGATGTGGTGCCTGCGGCGGCGGTACCAGCGGAGGACGCGTGCGACGGAGAGCATGCTGGTGCTGCACTCGGAGCTCATGCGCCGCCGCGCAGAGGCGCGCGGCGAGCTTTTCGCCGAGGAGCAGGAGGCGGAGAGAGCGCGGACCAGCTCACTCAGCGCACTGCCCGCGGTCCGCGCACCCTGAAGCAGCGCTCTCCGAAGCCGGTGGGGAGGGCGGGCGAGGTGACGGCAGGGTCGGGGCGTGGATAGGTCGCGTACCTCGAGCACCGCTCTTCGAGCCAGCGCCTCTCGATGGTCTCGTACCACTCGCAGGAGGGGATTGGCACCCTCCCCTACCCCACGGTACCCGAACCCACCCTCCCCCACCCCTCCTGCCACTCGCAGGACGAGCTTGTGACGGCAGAGCAGCGGGCAGGTGACTCGGCCGAGGAGGGCGGTGCGTCGCACTCTCTTCGCACTCTCTCCCTCTCCACCAAGCCCTCTGCAGACGCCCCCCCGCCCCCCTCCCCTCTCTCTCTCTCTCTCTCTCTCTCTCTCTCTCCCTCTCTCTCTCGCTCTCTCTCTCTCTCTCTCTCTCTCTCTCTCTCTCTCTCTCTCCCCCCCCCTCCCTCCCTCCCTCCCTCCCTGCCTCTCTCTCTCCCTCTCCCTCACCCTCACCCTCTCCCTCTTTCTCCCTCTACCCCCTCTCCCTTCCTCCCTCTTTCTCTCCCACTCTCCCTCTCTCCCTCCCAACCAACCAACCGTCTCCACCATCGCCCCCTCCCCCTCCCCCCCTCTCCCCTCCCCCCTCCCCCCCACCACACACAGTCCCCGCCCCCGCAGAGCGGCGCACGAGCGAGGAGGAGGCGGAGTGCTGCCTCTGCATGGAGGGCTACCGCGACGAGGACATGGCGCGCTCTAGTCTCGGCGCCGTGCTCCACTCTCCTGCACTCTCCGAGCGGCAGTGTTGGAGCGGGACTGCCCCCCCACCCCCCCACCCCCACCCCCTCCCCCCTCCCCCCGCCCTTCTTTGCGCAGGTGCGTGTGCTGCCGTGCGACCACTACTTTCACAAGGAGTGCATCGACAAGTGGTTCGACTCGACGCAGTTCCAGGCGAGGCCCGGCC